ATAAACAACTCTTAATGATGGAAAACTGAAGCATGTATTAGACAGAGTGCATTAAGCTATTTACCTTCCAAGAAGCAGAAGTATTAGTTACAGCTTTAAAATAAGCAATTTATAAAATTCAATGCAAAGGCAACTCAAAGTCTTAACCGAATGAGTTACTTCTTTTTATTAAAACTTTCCATGGCTTCCCACTGCCCGTGATAAATATGTAGGCCTGACTAGTGTGCACTTTCCTAGTTTCCAGTCTACCTCTCTAGGCTGCTCTCTCTCCTTCTTTCCATCCTTCGTTCCACCCAAAAAAATTGCTTTCAGTTTTCAGACTCTCTTGGTATTTCCTATCACTCTACCTCGACTCACTGTCTCCTTTCTCTTAGAGATGATAATTGGGTTGATAATATTCAGTTCATAGGCTCATTATTTAATTGCAAAGACAGATTCTGAATACAGACTTTTGCATGGAAAAATCTATCAAGTGTCTCCACCTCAAGCCCCCATCAACATGCTTCCATTTTTTCTGTTTGCTGCCACCTTGCAACTTATGACCCACGTCAAAGCTTTCACCGCACTCCCTGGCTGTATACCCCAAGTAGAGGTGAGTAATACTTCCAGGAAAACGCGGCAGTCATACCACGACACAATGCCCGCAATTTTCTGTGTCAATAACAATGGTTAGTTTTACCTCCTTAGTAATTCATCGGTAAATGTAGGTTCAGGTTTTCTTAATCATCTCCTTTTATTAAAAATTATAAATTGTATAGAACCTTCATAATAGAATTTCATCAAGAATGAACTAAAGCACTCAACTGTTGCGGTCCCTACCCAAGTACACAAACGTAGTGGGTAAATAGCAAGGATAAGAGAACAGGGTGTGTTTCTATGTGTGTGTGATTCCCTGTATGTACACATTCATGATAAGAGGTGGGCAGCTCCTTCTCAGAGTATCTTACATATTTCCACTGTACAGCCATCCCTTAATAAAAACTACTCTAATGTACAACAGAAATATTCATCTTCATTAATTGCATATGGTAGTTCTCAGATAGTACAGACACTCGAGAAATAGACTTTTTAGTTGTTGTGTTTTCCAGTTACACTGCTTGATCGGATCTCTAAATTTACACTCCGTTGTCCCACGAGGCACAACTGTCCTAACTCTCCAACTCTGCCTAGCATCCTGCTACTTCTATGAGCTCCGATAGCCCATTCTAAAGTGACAGAATTAAGTGCCTAAGTACTGAAGCTTTGCTTCCCGATATGGTTAAAACCATTATATAAGTTGAAGCATATCCATTCAATCTGTGTACCTAGAAATATCATTTCTTCTGTTGCTAACGAAGGTCCTACAGCACAAATTTATTAAAGGTATACGTTTGCATGGGATAATAATTGGGTCGATAATATTAAATTCATAGGCTCATTATTTAATTGCAAGGGCAGATTATGAACACAGCTTCTAAAATGTATTTTAATGAAAAACACTACATCCTGACCTAATCACATCAACCTTATGCTATCTAATTAAGGATGCAAAAAATCATTAGAGTCGCAAAATATTAGTTCCAGCTCCATCAGGCTGTGAGCTGCCCCTTCATGAATATATATGTTTTTACTCCATGATAAATAGTTAATGAGGTAAAAATGACAAAATTTGCATGTAGGCAAATTAGTTTAATAGAATGATGTCTTTTCTGACTACTGAAAGTGACCTTTTCCTTCTCAAAAACATGGCTAAAATACTTTGGAATTATCATCTGGCTGTCTTTGCACAAATGATAAATTGTATGTATGAACAATATAAAAATTACAAAATGCAATAATCCTAAATTCTCATCATACTCTAAATGTATTCTGTGCTTTTGCATTTATCAATTTAATAAAATGAAATTAAGCATATTATAAAGTGTCCATTTATGTGGCAATTTTTAATCCAGAGCATAAAAATGAGAAGCACGTGCTTAATAGCTAGCACTATGGCAAAAATCTAGATCAAATTTTTAAAGCACAAGAATTCTAGACTACTTACTTGAAATACTTTTATATTAAAATGTCCACTCCACTCTTAATTTAGCATTTTAGATTATAGATGATCGCTCTCAATTAAACTGGTATAATATCTTGAAATCAGTACATCAATTATTCAACAGTGCTACCTTACTTCCCTATTGAAATAAACTAGACAAGCAATCATAAAACAAGTTAAGAAGAATAACATACAAAAATTAATCATAAGGAAGAGAAAGGCTTCATAGTATAAACACCAGGTCATGAAGAGATGTGACAAATAAAATATATACGTCTATCATTTAACTTTGAGAATGTTTCTGTGTGCTTAACAAACATCACTCCAACAGCAAGAAATAACAGGTGTTCTACAGATTTTCAAATGATTTGCATACACATCTCTATGAGCCTCATCACTGATGGATGCTGAGTCTGTGCTGTGAAAGGAACAGCAGCAATTCATCCAGATGTATTAACTTCTGGTAATGGCGCAACAGAATCTAAGCCAAAATATTTTACTTAAGACAAAAATGCCTTTGATTAAATCGTTTACTTTGGTTACATTTAATTAAATTGTCTTTTCCCTGATCCATCTGAATGTGGACACACAGTCAGCAGGATGGACTAGAAACTCAAGTGACACTCTCTTCCTGAGTTCTACTCTTGTCCATCACGTGTCAGCTAAGCCATTTTACAAAGAAGAGAATAAATATTAATTTTAAAGAATTAAGGAATTTCACAATGTCCTTTAATTTTCCTTCTAGCACTTAAGCACTAGTTGACTTCTCCCTCCCTCCCTCTTCTCCTCTCTCTCCTCCTGTTCTTCCCATTCTCCCCCATCTCTCATTCTCTGTCTTCTCTAGCTAAAATAAAAATAATTCTCTATTTTTCTCTGTATTCTCTTGTTCAACTCAAATCATTTTGGCACATAAGTTTGGTTGCCTTCCAAATTTCTAAACTTCCATGTTGTGAAACTTAATGACAAAATAAAATGAACAGGCACTTTGAAATTATCCTAGAGAGAAAGTGCTGTTTGCTTGATTTTTAGGATCATTTCAACCACTTTGGCCTTTTAAAAAGTATGCTGTTAGTCAAGGATTTTTGAAGAAGAAACCAAAATGAATATAAGGTAAAGTAAAAACTGTTTTACTTCAAGTCAAGGACAGTGGTCTTGAAAATGTCTGCTGTAATTTTAAACTAATTATTAAATTAAGAGAATTCAAGACATATTGAGTATATTGTTAGTAAACCCATGTGGAATTTTTTTAAAAGCTAATGTTTAGGTTTCTATCAAGTAGAGAAGAGGATGAGGTAGATTTTATGTCTATTATACGGGCAGATTAAATATGTTTAATAATTCAATGGTTCATGCACACATTCTTTTATGTATTGAAAAAATAGACAATAAAAATGTACTATATTCTGCAGACCCTGTTAGGGCTTGAAGACACAAAGATGGAGAAACTATTGGTTTATTACACAAGAAGTCTTCGTCTAAAGAGGAAGAGGAACACACGGGGAGTTAATCCCTAGATTGTGTGTTAGATGCTGGAAAGGTCAAGTAAAACAGGCAGTTTTAGCAAAAAGGAGATGGTTGTCTCTGGCAGCTCCACCGAGAAAACACTCAAACTGAGCCCTGGAGAATAGTTTGTTTGCCCGGTGGTACGTGAGGAGTTGGGAGGCTGTCTTTCCAAACAGAGAGGAATGTACGGTAATGTGAAACAGTATGACATATTTAGCAAATTATCCGTATTTTATATGGCCTCCTCATATTTTGCTAAGAAGCATTTGGTAAGAGGAATGTTGAGAAAGGATGGGAGAGATGAGCACACAGGAGATGTCACTGGAGAGGTAGAAAAGAATCAGATCAGATGGCAAACACACAATAGTATGAGGTTATTGAAGGTTTTATGACAGGGGACTGCAGGGTCAGACTTGCATTTTAGAAATACTATTTTGACAAGAGACAAGAATGAATTCATGGACAGTGCAACAACGTGGCAACTGTAGCATGAGATTGAAGGCAGAGAAAGCCATTGGCAAAGTATGGCTGTCATTCAGAAGGTGGGTATTGAGGTCCTAGACATAGGTAGTAGCAAATGGAATAGAGAAGAGGAGATATTAAGGAAGACAAAGAAAAGTCTAGAAAAACTCTTGAGTTTTAGATCTTTGTGATTCAGAGTACATGAAAATGCCAAGTACAGAGATTATGGAAGTGTAAATGGCACAGGTAAAATGTATGCATTAATTAGTTAACTAAGTCGATTTTGTTTGGACCATACTAGGTTTTAGGTAAATTCGGGACATTCATCTGGAGATATCAAGTAGGCTGCTGGATTGTATTTTGGGGGGACTCAGAAAGGAGGTGTATTCTGGAGACACGTATTTGATCATCTTCAGCCGGATGGAAGACACAGTTTGAAAGGAGGTTTATCAAAGAACTATGGAGAGTCAGACAAGGAATAAACCAAGTACAGAACCCTGGGAGATGCTAACATGTAAGAGCCTGGTGAAGCCAATGAAAAAGGCAAAGGAGATTTCTCCTGAAAGAGGGACTGACTAACAAAAGCATCAAAGGATAAAGGCAGAAGTAATATCCCTTCCCTCCTGTTCACTCAAAGTCACTTTAAAGCTGAAAATCTTGTCATGTGTGGAAACTCATTCTTTTATGTTCTTCATAACCGTTGTGTATTTTGCCATATATATACACACACATACATATATATACATATATATGTATATGGCAGGTATCAATAAATATTTTTATAAGAAAATAAGAGTGCTGAACTATAAGTACCATCTGGTCATGTCTCCTCATCTCGACTAATAAAAAAATAAACATACAATTGAGCGGCAAGATTTGTACAGTGGTGGCGATCAAATACAATAGTAAATGGCTTCAAAAAACAATGTGAGAAAATTTAACAGCTGACTGATATGCTAACGGAATGAGCTGCTTTCGTGCAGTCAAAACACAAAGCTACTTCAAACCAACTCACCTTCCTTCTCTCACCATTGAGTCCTCTCCATTGCTCAGATCTTTTTACTATATAGCTTAGTTCCTGATTGGAAATCTCCAAATCATATGGTATAAAAAACTTGGTTTCTTCACTGTGGATGCGCTGGAATGCGTCTAATATCCAGGAATCATTGTGCAATCTAAAAGCAAAATCATTTGTTATTTGGTTTTTTTCCCAAATATTGTTTGCTTTTTTCCAAAAATGTTATTAAACACTGTCTCTTTTATAAACTTCTATGTATTTAATTCACTAGTCCCCTTTCTTTTTCAGAAATTATTTGACTAAGATTCCAGAAATGATTTAATGATTTTCTCTGCTAGATATCATAATCCAACAACAACAATTTGGGATTTGTACAGATCACATGGAAATGTCTTTCTACACGGTGTGGAGAATTTTAAGTATTTTCTTGCAATGATCAGGATAATTATATTTTGCTTTAAATGGGCTAGATAATAAAATTTAAATGTATTGCTGTCCTATTATAATGGTAGTTCATTTCACATTCACTGTGTTACCTAGTTTTACCTTAATCCTGTCATTTACATATTTACACGTTAAAATCAAAAGTTAGTCTTACTCTTTATAAGTAACAGAGAGAGAATTTAAACTCAGAGTTCTCTCCAAAGTTCATTTTATTCCATCATCTGACTCTTCAGTGCAAATAAAGGACACAACACATATCTTCACTTAACTAGATCCTTTCCAAAATAGTAAAATAGATTTTTTTGACCCTTCTTGCCAACTAAGATGCATGTGTCTTTTTCCCCCCAACTATTTTTCATTCATCACATAGTGGAAATGCAGTCAGCCTTCTGTATCTGCAGGTTCTATACCTACAGATTCAACAAATCAGGGATTGAAAAAATTTTGAAAAAGAATTCCATAAAGTCCCTGAAAGCAAAACTTGAATTTGCTGTACACAGGTAACTATTTACATAGCATTTACATTGTATTAGGCATTGTAAATAATCCACAGATGATTCTAAGTACAGGTGACCCTTGAACAACATGGATTTGAATTGTTCAGATCCACTTACACACAGATATTTTTCAATAAATACAGTCACCCTTCCTATGTCTGGGTTTCACATCCACAGGTTCAGCCAATCACGTATCACAAACTTAATACACAATCCGCAGTTCTACAGTTCATTGAATCCTAGGAGGTGGAACCCCAGGATTTGGAAGGCTGACTACAGGACTTGAGCATCTTATCTCCCGGAACCAATCTCCCATGGATACTGAGAAACAACTGAAAAAGCAAAACTGCCACCTGGCGTCTCTGATGGCCCATATGGCTTGGTGCCATCTTGAAATGCAACTACTATTCTTACTATGTTTGGAGATTCTAGGTCAGCAATGTGAATGATTTGCTAGTTGTCTTGTTAAACAAGAACTAGGCTTTACCATTCTCTTAAGCTTGTTTAATGTAACATTCATCTTTTCCTTTTAATGGTGGTAAGATTTAATGTAGCTAAATTACTGTCAATTTGCTGCCATAAACATTTTCTATATGAAGATTTTAAGTGCAGTATTATCAACAATGCAATTAACTTTGAATTAATTAGGAATCACAGTCCTGTTTCTGCTAGCTTCTGCTCCTTTTGCCCAGGAAATGTCTGTCTCCTCTTTACATCTCCTTCATTCTGTGTGAAAGAATAATTATACAACATCCAAGCCAGGATCTACAGGATGGTAAACAAATGCTTTAACAGAGAACAAAATGGCACATTGGAATGTGGAAAGCTGTATGAAGGTCAATTATGTTTTATTTTGATTTTTAATTTTTTTTTTTTTTTTGGCCATTTTGAGTGGCATTTCCCAGTGAAAAGCTTCACTATGGGTTGTGAATGAGTCAACTTACCAACCTCTATTAGTTTTTAGCATATTTCTCAGCTCTATAGAGCCAGCTTACACAAACAAGGAGAAAATAGTCTATGGTCATAGTCGTATATGCAAAATTTAGAAATAAATTGAACGTTGATAATTCTGTAATTCATTTGATAACATAATCAGTCAAGCAATATAACGTTTATCCAAAAGTGAACTGTTTTATCCTTTTGGATATTTATGCAGTCCATACTGATCAAATTTGGTGAACATCTATTAAATATTCACTTTTTTGGTTCTCTTGAGAAAGTTAATGATTCCAGCTAAATGTTAGAATAATTTCTATTAAGATAAAAAATGTAAGAACAGTTCCAATTTCATAAATAAATCGGGCACTGGTAGACATTGATGACAAAGAGCAGCAGACTATTTTCTCTGTGTATTTACAGTATTAGAATTGTCCAATAAAATTTCAACTTTCCATGATCATATTTAGTTATGAAAGTTTGTTATTTTCAAATAGGTTAATAATAACACAAATACACGCATGTATTTTCATATTTTTGCCATTTTGGGTATGTGTGTATAAATATCAGATTGAATTGAATAAAATTGAAGATACTGGATCATATTGGATGAAAGAGAGAAAAGGAGAAAAGCAAACATGGAAAGAATTCTATTGATTAGTGAATCTAAAAGGAGAATACACAAGGTCATTGCACTACTTTTGCAACCTGTGTAGGTCTGTTTTTAATAAAAAGCTAAAATTTTATGATATTCTACTGAAATACACATTACATGGTGATGGTTGAAAAATTTAATTTCTTTTAACAATACAACTATTCAATATGTCTAAAAATTTTACATTTTTAAATTTCTTCAAAATGTAATTAAAAGAGAGACTACATTCCACCTGTTCGTAAAGCCTTAGGCATTATTGTTTATAGAAATAGGTCACATATTATGCCACAGGTTCTGGTGATGGACAATGAAACAAAGTAATTTACAAAGTCCTCTGCCCTGTGTCCTACATTTGAAGCAATTCACTGCTTGATGAATGGCAGAAGCTATTATGTTTGGTTCACATCTGAATGTGGGTCATTTACAGAAACCTAGCATGTGACATTTCTTTTCAAGCTAAAAAGGACAAGTGTGAACATTTAGCTAATATAGTATTTTAAGGATCATGAAAAGGATGGAAGCTATGACTTAAAATAGCTCTAAATTCAAAAAATATATAAAAATGAAGAAGAATCAAATATGATTGCTTATTTCTAACTCCAAAAGTTACAAAAGATTTCAGCAGTATGGCTTTATACATATTGTAGTCAATGTGCTTATGATTTAACTTTGAAAACTACTTACCTGCTGGTGTAAATACATTAGACTGTGGCAGGTACAGCTCTGAATAGACAGCATGTAAACAGTCAAGCTTCTTATAGAGTGACAAGCATATGCTTGCTAAAATTCATTCATTCATTTTTTTAATATTTAAATTTTTTTTCTAAAATACAAATATTCTTTAGTAGAATTGTTGAACACTTTAGATGAGGTGTGACACTGAAGTGCTTATATGTATGGAGAAAGCTTTGGTTGGCTTTCTAGAAATACTTGCGCAGTCACCATTCTGTTTAATAGTAATTAAAATCCAAATGGCTTTGGTATGAACTTGTACTAAATGAAGAAAAAGGGAAATACAAGGAAGCCATAAAGAAGAGAAAAAATATAAAGAAGGAAAAGTAATTTTAGTAAAAGGAAACTCAGAAAATAAAAATGTGCACACAATGGGAAATAGTGAAGAACCACCCGCATCCCTCCACCACCATTTCCAGAGACAGTCCTGTCACAGGGTTCTAGTTATGAAGTGTATACCCTTCAATGTATGTGTAGAGTCTCACGTTTGTAAGGGGACAATCATCCTCCTACTTCACTCCTCATTCATGTATTTACTTGGTCAGAAAATATTCACATGTGTCTATCAAATGCCAAGCACTTGGTAAGTGCAACCAGTAGGGGAGGGGATAGGGGAAGATTCCTGGAAGGAGGTGGAAAGGAGCCCTCATGACTCACAGAGTGATGGGGCAGTCACAGAGTATTAAGGTTGTACAATGTGGGGAAGGCATGGCCCCAATCAAGAGACCTCATGTTTGTAAGAGTAATAGGAGCCATTAAAGCAAGAAGAGATTTTTTTTAATTAAAAATGATTCTGGTGACAGTGAGAATAGATTAAAAGGGGCAAGAGGGAATATAAGAAGACTAGTTGAAGGCTGCTGTTACAGTAAGTCATGGGAGAGATTAGGGCATATTGGACAGGGAAAGGACCCTATGGATGGAATGAGATGAACTGCTTCAAGAGCTAAGGAACCACCAGAACCTGGAGAAGGTTTGTATGGAGGGTGAGAGAGAGAAAGTGTTTGAGGACACCTCCCACGTTTGTTTGTTGTTTTCTTTTTTCCAGAACTGGATGGGTGATCTTGCATTTACTGATATAGGAAACCTCTTCCTTCCTTCCTTCTTTCCTTCCTTCCTTCTTTTCCTTCCTTTCCTTCCTTCCTTCTTTCTTCAGAACTGGATAGGTGATCTCAGCATTTACTGAGAAAGGGAACCCTACGTGAAGAAGTGATCTGGAGCAGAAGACAACGAGTTTCTTTTCAGAATGTCGATTTGGAAGTCCCATTGACATATATACGTGGAGTTGTCAAAGTTAATAGAAAGTTCTAAATTGCTTAATTAAATTCATATGTATCTTGAAAGAGCTAAATTTTAGAACTAAACTTAGCTGCCTAAATTACAAATCTGTTAGAAATATACAATTTAAATCAATTAACTTGTTCCAAAGGAGCAGATCAAGGTTTAAATTTGATTTCACTACTCACATTTTAAAGATAAATGAAAGAGAGTCAGAGAGGTTAAACTACTGCCAGAGGACACACAGCTGGTAAGTAACAGAGCCAAGATTCAAGCCAGATATTGAACCACTACATCACAGCCATTCATCAGGCAAAAATTAACCACAGATGTGAATTTTAAGTAATCTTATTGTTAAAAAAATTAAGAAATATGACATAGAAGTAATATTGCAGTTTGGGGAGTTGCAAAGACTGCGTAAAGATAGGAGTTGCAACCTTAGGCAAATGACTTAAAGTCAATGAAGGCTTGGTTTCTTCATATGAAAGGAGATGACAGTAACTGGTCCTGAATCACAGACTCAGTCTGAGGTTTAAGTGAGGTAATCTATATACTGTATTCAAACCAGGGTTGGCGTATACAGTAAGTGCTCAGGACACGACAAAAATTACTATTCAG